TTGGTGCTATAGCAATATAGAATTCAGTTAAACAAATGCTTCTCATCTTATATTTATCCAATTATTTGGACATATTTATTTCTTTCAGAAAACTGAATCTAGGTATGTTATTGGATACTTGCCATTTTTTAGTATATATTTGCATATTCCCACTCGCAGAATGCAAAGTAATTTTAGGACAAATTTGATGCATAGGATATGGTTACATTCTGGATAGCTGATATTGTCAAAGAAATTTCAAATGTCGTTGGCAAATAGGCTCCCACCAGCAGTGAAAGAGTTTATTTGGTTCACCTCTGAATAAAAGTTGGCATTTGATTATTAATTTTAATCCACCTAATGAACACATAGAAGTATTCTGCTTGCATTTTAAGAAGTTCTGTGATGTCTGTTCAAACAGAACATTTCTTTAAAAAAATTTAGCCATTGTTAGCATGATTTATTTTATGTGCATTTCCTATCCTCATAGCTGTTATTTTCTAATCAAATTATAGAGATTTTAAACATATTTTGGAAATAAATTATTTCACAATATTCATGCTGCAGTATCTCCCCTGTTGCTATCATTAGCATTTTAACAGTGTTTATTTTTTTAAATCAAACAATCCATTTTTTCATGGTTTGCATATGTTCTGTTAAATATGTCAGTATGCATTTAGGAAGATATTACTTGTAGAAACTTTAGTGGTTTACATTTTACATACAGGCTACATAAAATGGCTCTTCAGTATAAACAATAAATTCTTAGTTGTTTATAATGTGTATGTTTTGGTGATCAAACGTGTCCCAGGTTTTTTTTTTATTACTTCATATCCTGTATGTGGGCTGTGAGGAGGTAGCAATCAATACTAAGTGTTTTTCATATTGATATGTAATAGACCATTTGTTATTTATTCAAAAGGGATTTCAATCCCCATGACACTAATGTGTTAAGTCTTTCTGAACCAGATAATTATCCTTAGAGATTGTTTTGGGACCAGATAAACTATTGCATTATATACTTGTTTACTCTTTGTGTATAACTTTGTAATGAAACTTTGAAATCTGGACGAGTAAGATTTCCAATTTAATTCTTTACTTTAATTTTTTTTTGTAAAGATACTGTACAGAAGGGTTACAGTTACAACAGTAAGGTAATGAGTACATTTCCTATTGAGCATTATTACCCTCTCCTTTGTTTTTCTCCTACTATCCTTTCCCTCCTCACATCTCCAGCTACTTCCCTCCCCCATCCCCAAAGTTTATGTTTTTTTTCAGCATAGTGTCTTGTACATCTCATTGTTTCAATGAGTCAGCCTGTATCCTAGTTTCAGCATTTTGTTATTTCCCTTTCCCTCCCCAAATTAGAAAAAAAAAATGTGTATATAAGATGCAGGACTCGGGGAAACAAACATAGTGAAAACAGGGATTATACCACAGGGGGAAGAATTTACAAAAGAAACAAACAACAACAACAACAACAGCAACAAACCAATATAGTACATTAAAAGCAACAGCAACAAAGAAAAAAACCTTTTGTGTCCCTATCTTGGGATTAATATTGCTTAGTATCATCTTATATGGTCATATGTACACAGCTTTTCACCTTTTTCTGCTTGTCTGGTAGGATTATCCTAGATGTATACTAGTTATTACAAATAAGGGAAACCATGGGACTTATATTTCTTTGGGTCTAGCTAACTTCACTTAATATTTTTTCCAAGTACTTCCATTTCCTAACAAATGCAGCAGTATCATTCTTTCTGAAGGAGGCATAGAATTCTATTATATATGTATATATATATATATATATATATATATGTGTGTGTGTGTGTGTATATATATATGTGTGTGTATATATATATATATATATACATATATATATATACATATACATATCACATTTCCTTGATCCATTCATCTACTGAGGGACATCTGGGTTGTTTCCATATCTTAGCTATGGTGAATAATGCTGTGATAAACATAGTTGTGCTGGTAGCTTTACTATGAACTTGTTTATGATTGTTTGGGTAAGTGGAATTGCTGGGTCCTAGGGGAGCTCTATGTGGAGTTTTTTGAGGAACCTCCATACTGCTTTTCAGAGTGGTTGGACAAGTTTACACTCCCACCAACAATGCAGTAGGGTTCCCTTCTGTCCACATCCCCTCCAGCATCTCTTGTTATTAGCTTTCTTGATTATAGCCATTCTAACTAGGGTAAGGTGGAATCTCAATTTTTTTTGATTTGCATTTTTTTTATAGTGAGAGAAGTTAAGCATTTTTTTTTTGATGTGTCTATTGGCCATTCATATTTCCTCTTCAGAGAAGTCTCTCTTTAAATCTTTTTTTTTTTTTTTGTCGGTCGTGGGGCTTGAACTCTGGGCCTGGGCGCTGTCCCTCAGCTCTCCAGCTCAAGGCGAGCGCTCTACCACTTGAGCTACAGCGCCACTTCCGGTTTTCTGGTGGTTTATTGGAGATAGGAGTCTCTCGGTCTTTCCTGCCCGGGCTGGCTTTGAACCGCGATCCTCAGATCTCAGCCTCCTGAGTAGCTAGGATTATAGGCGTGAGCCACCAGCGCCTGGCTTTTCTTTAAGTCTTTAACCCACTTATTAATGGCGCAGTTGTTTCTTTGAGAATTTGTTATTGGGGATTTAATTTTTTGAGCTCTAAATATATTTTAGATATGAGACCCTTGTCCATTGTATGGCTTGTGAACAGTTTTTCCCAATCTGTGGGCTTTCAATTTAATTCTTTAGGGTAGTTATTTCTGTCCTTAGATCTATGACTTCTCATTCATTTTTTTTTTTTTATGTTCCTCACAAGGACTTGAAAATCTAGTTCCACGGTAGGAAATTGACTAAAGAAGTTGGAAAAATACAGGGATTATTAGAGTTTCATGGGTAGGGAATTTTACATTTTACTTGTTTTTGATACATGTGAAAGGAGTGCACATGTATGTTCAGTTTCCCCACAACTTTTAAGTTCCTTTCCTATTGAGTGTTCTCTGTAATTTGCTAAGTGAATGTTAACAAACCTGTGAGTTTATTTCTGGGCACTGTTTTGTTCTATTATTCTATATTGATTTCTCTGTCTTTACCATTTTGTTTGGGTTATTAGAGTTTTATAGTATATTTTGAAGCCAAGTTTTGTGAAGCCTCTAGCATTGTTCTTTGAAATTGTTCTGGTTTTGGTGGTGTTATTTAGTTTCATATAAACGTTGGGAGTTCTTTTTTTTTTCTATGAGTATTACCCTGGAATTTTAATGTAGATTGCTTTTAGTTATAGAGTTTTAACAAAATTACTTTCTTTGATTTATATACAAAGGATGTCTTTGTTTTGTGTCTTCAATAACTTTAATTATACTTCATAGTTCACAATTTAGCAACATTTCACTTCTTACATAAATATTTATTTAGTTATTTTATTGCGTTAGATATATGCAATAGATATTGTTGGCTTCTTTTCAGACAGATCACTGTTAGTTTGTGGAAAGACCACCCAAACTTCTGTGTAAAAATACAATAGTTACAGAAATAAAGTATAAAATCTAAATACAAAGTAAAAGAACACTGTATTTTTATATCAGGAATGACAGAGAAGTAGGTGATACTTTATTGACATTCAACTACTAACCAGTAGAGTTCTAGCTAAATCCTTGGAATAGATAGGGAAGATTGAGCCATGTGCTCAAGAGGCTGAAATCTCAGGATTGCGTTTCAAAGCCAGCCCGGGCAGGAAATTCCATGAAACTCTTATCGCCAATAAACCACCAGAAAACTGGAAGAGGCGCTGTAGCTCAAATGGTAGAGCACTAGCCTTGAGCTGAAGAGCTGAGGGACAGTGCCCAGGCCCAGAGTTCATGACCGACAGAAAAAAAGAAAAAGAAAAAAAAGAAAGGGAAGATTGACCAAAATGTCTCTGAATATAAAAATACATCTGCCTTCAGTTGAGAGAATATAATGTTGATTTGCTGGTAGTGATTAGGAAGAATTAAAACTGAATGATAAATCATTGTTCTATATACCAAATACACTGGTGTGTTTGTACTCATAAGCACTCAAATGGTTTTTCTTTCTTGCTATTGTTTCTAATATATTTATAAGATGATTTCTTTGTTGTTTTATATGTCCCTCCCACACGGTAGACCCCCTGTTTTCACTGTATTTGATGTTGGTATAATTTGGGGAGGGGAAGGGAAAAAACAATTGTTTAAATAGGGATATGGGTGGACTCATTGCAACAATGAGATGTACAAGACATTATGTTGAAAAAACAACTTTACAACTTTGGCGGAGGTGGGGGCATGGGGAGTGGGAGGGGGAGAAAGGGAGGGTAGGGATGGTACAGGGAAAGAAAGGAGGCAACAATGCTTGATAAGAAATGTACTCATTACCTTGCTCATGTAATTGTAACGCCTCTGTACGGTATTTTCACAATAAAAATACTTATTATTAAAAAAGTGAACATATATAAGCATCTCTCCCACTCCTATAACATGTATTTTTCTACAGAATAACTATCAGAAGCACCAGGGAACTCCAGGGTTCTTCTATAATGGTCATGATATTTGCATTTCCACTTCTCTTCACTTGCATGTAATTATCAACCTGGAGTCTGTGGCTCTCTCTGATATGATTTTGGTTTCAAAATACAGAAAGAAACTTTCTTAGGCAACCTCATTTCTAGTTTGTAGATAACTTAATGCAACAAGGTTTTAAAATGAGAGAAACAGACACATTTTCACTGCAGGTAAAAAGATGCTAATGGATATAAATTGGTCCAAATGTGCTTTACACTGAGCCTTCCTATTTTTTTTTTAACCCAAACAAGAAGTTGGGAATTTCACACATTGTAAGAACGTCTATGTAAGGTTTGCAAGCATTTTAAAAAATGCTTCTATTCTGTGGTTGTAGGCAGCTGAATATTCTCTTTCTTTGTATAATAAAGTGCTGGTTTTCATGATGGAACATTTGGTATACAGCTGATAAAATGAGAATTGACAGTTTTTTCTTTTCTTTTCAGCTCACTCCAGTTGGCACCACAATATTCACAGGATTTTCAGGGGACAATGGAGCTACTGATATAGATGATGGCCCAAATGGACAGATAGAATATGTTATCCAGTATAACCCAGAAGATCCGGTATGTAAATATCTACATGCAATGTAATTACACTTGAAGAATAATACTAACATTTTACTTTGTTTGGTAATCGTTGTATTGTTCTGCTAGATAGTGAAATTACATTAGCAATGATATTATTATCAAAATTATCCTAAATTTGAACTTTGGAGGTATTTGTAAGTAGGACATCTTTATTAGTGCATTTGTAACAAAGGTATTAATAAGCATCAGAATGATGACTCACACCTATAATTTTCGCACTCAAGAGTTTGTGTCCAGAAGATCATAGAATTGAAGGTTTGGGTTCATCCTGGACTTTGTAGTAAGAACTTGAAACAATATAAATACATCATTTATTTTTCAAAACATTAGGAAGATATGAGTAGAAATAATAATAGAGCAACAACAACAGCCATAATAATAGGGAAAATTATAAAGGAAGGTTTGAGAGGTTTTATGTTCCTTAAAGGGGAGGTTATCAACATGTTGTAGGCAGAAGCAGTGAAACTGAATGAAAGGTGATGACAACATGAAGGAAAACAACAAAATGGAAAAGAAGCAGAAAGCAGTGGAGAGCAAGAGGAAACACTTTCCTCTTAAGAACAGAAAAGATAACGGATGACAAAAATGTGTTTCTGAACCATTCACCCTCTGCTCTTAAAGTAGTTTTCCTTAAAATTATATGTGTAGTTCCACATTTCTAGGTAATATTACCTGTTATTTTCTAATCTCTACTCTTCTAGCTATAAAAATGAAACCATCAGATTCAGAATATATATTGTAGAGAAATTTTGTTTTGAAGGAGACATAAAACTGTTTGAGGTTTAGATGCACTTTAAGATAGGGAAGATATTACTGAGAATCTATGCTTCAGAGGTTTTGTGGGGCTGAAATTCCTTACTAGCTTCAAATATTCCCTTTTGAATGTTTCTGCCTATCAAAGATTTTTGGATTTGCCATTATATACAATTATATTCCTTTTTCTACCAACAGCATGAACCAATCAGCCACATGCAGTTTCAAAGTTATAAAAGCAAAAACAAATTTTAGAAAAGTTAGTACCCCTGTGGAATAAATAAAGAAATTCTCAAGGCCAAGACAGAATTCACCGGGGAAAAGGAGTCAGACATCAAAAAAAAAAAAACACCCACAAAAAACACACTCTTAACTTATGGTACATGGGAAGAGAAGGCATTAATCAAGCCCTACTATTCTGGGAATTCACCTTTAGTCATCCTGAAAATTTAATGTAAGCTTTTTTACCCGTTTTTATTTCTAGTGAGATCTAGTGAGAGAAATACCTGATTTTTTGTTTTTTGTTTTTCTGCTATGATTAAACAATTAATCAATTTCTTTATAACACCATGTATACCACTTATTTTTTTAAATTTTTTTATTGTGAAAATACTGTACAGAGGGGTTACAGTTACAGGAGGAAGGTAATGAGTACATTTCTTATCCAAAATTGTTGCCTCCTCCTTTGTTTTTCCCCTACCATCCTTTTTATTTTTTATATCAAAACAAATTGCATGTGTAATGAATATATAATTTAATCTGAAAAATATGGTCACCTCTGACTTTGTGAACTACAATTATAATTTCATTCAAATGAATCCCATACTGAACTAAGACTGTATCTTAAAATATGATAAAGGTAGATTTTTTTTCACTTAAAAATCTGTTCACTTGCCTTCTTCTATCTATTGCTTTTATTCTTCAATACTTGAAACTGTAAGTGAGTGACCTGGAGTTTTACTCAAACTATAGCTACATTATTTGACTCCACATTATTTTAAACAATCTTTGAGGTAATATCTAAAACATCATTAAATTTTATGTTCAAATGTAGCTTTCTTTCTTCTCTTGACAAACAGAAATATGTACACAGCAGTTTTGCTTTCTAATAAAGCAACAATCAGCAGGTACTGAGTTCTACAACTCCTTCTACTGAAGCAATTTCTGTGTCTCCACTTGTAACTTCTGAATTCCTATCATTTACTGAACTCTTGTAGACCATTAGTGTAGCTCATCTCCTAAAATAAGACAAAGAATTCTGAACCAATACTTTCCAGGATTTTAATCAAGGTTACTAATAAGAGAAGTAGCTGGAAATTTAATCATGTTCCCATATATAACTTGTCATTTTTCTCTGTCTGCTTCCACATTTTTCATTTCATTATGGATTCTCAACCATTTGACTATTACATTGAAAGTTTTAGTGTTCATTTTAATTATCTTTAAGGGGAGGATTACTGGAAATTTTGAAGTTATGAATTTTTTTTAACTCAGCATCAACTTGACACTCTGAAAAAGTGGTAGAAAGTGTGACCAGAAAATTCAGGGTATGGATTTTGTGATGATCAAAATTTACGGAAAATGAAGACAAAATACTAGAAAGGAGAAAGCTAGAGAAAGAATGATAAAAATCCTCTCATTAATGGTCTAATTATACAGTTTGTCTCAAATACATATACAAAGGACAGATGACAAACATTAATGAAGATAAATTATGCTATTACATACTATATATATAATATAATACATACTATGTACATAATAGAGTATATATTGGTATGTGTTATACTCTAATAATAAAAGTATATACTATTATTTTAACAGTATATATTATACTATAACAGTACTATACCACACAATATGTAATTGTTATATAATTGTATATGTTATAGATTGTATATACTATATATAAAAATATTGGCATTCTGAGTAACAGTGAATATCTAGAGCTAGCCAATTAACAAGACAGAGCCTCACATAATATAATGTAAATCAAAAGATGACAGGTTCTCAACTTGGCTATATTCTATGAGGTACAGCCCAGACTTAAGACAAAGGAGTAACACCAAGTGCTAAATTGCTTAGCATGAGTCAGGGACTAAGAATTCTTCACACTGTAATACCCAATTCTGGGGATGTCTGAATCAATGTGAACAGCTTTGTTTTTTAAAAACTATTTTGAGATATCTCTCTTGGTTTTAAAAACAAAACAATTAGCCATGCATCAGAGGATCACACCTGTACTCTTGGCTCAGAAGCCTGAGATCTGAGGATCACGGTTCAAAGACAGCCAGGCAGGAAAGTCCATGAGATTCTTATCTCTAATAAACTATTTAAAAAAAGCTTGAAGTGCCATTGTGGCTCAAGTGGTAGAGAGCTACCCTTGAGCACAAAGAAGCTCAGGCCTTGAGTTCAAGCACCAAGACTGGCAAATAAATAAATAAATAAATAAATATGGTTGTTTACATTGTCTGGATTTTCTCATCTCAACTATGCTTTCTTTATGAGAAGGATACATAATTTACTAAAAGCAAATTCAGAAAGGTAGAGGAGGAATTTTTACTTACAAAATTATAAAATTTCATTTACATCCAAGTTCCCACAACTAAGCTCTTTAATGAGTCTGTTAATAAAATCAGAACACTTAAATTCAGCTTACCTTTTCTCTTGCCGTTTTTTTTTTGTTGTTGTTGAAATTCAAATGATCTTTTAAATAAAAAAGTATCAAATATAAAAATATTTTTTCTTAGCCGGGCGCCGGTGGCTCACGGCTGTAATCCTAGCTACTCAGGAGGCTGAGATCTGAGGATCGCGGTTCAAAGCCAGCCCGGGCAGGAGAGACCGTGAGACTCCTATCTCCAATAAACCACTAGAAAACCGGAAGTGGCGCTGTAGCTCAAGTGGTAGAGCGCTCGCCTTGAACTGAAGAGCTGAGGGACAGCGTCCAGGCCCAGAGTTCAAACCCCATGACCGACAAAAAAAAATATTTTTTCTTTGAGGAAATTACTTGCCTTGGTCAATAAAAAGTGAGTTCAATAAACCATAGTACAAGTTATTATATCTTTCTCCAATATTGTGGCTTATGAAAAAGAGAAAGTAATAGCATCCATTATCCCCAATGTCTTAAGATAAGCAGAACAGACTTGCTAATATGTGCTAGATGTTTAAATATGAAGAGTAAGAAATAGAAATGTGCAGGTTTTTTCCTGCAGCATAATCTACTCGTTTATAGCTGTTACATATATATATATATATATATATACAATTTTAACATACATATGCAAAATTTTACATATGTGTGCAAAAATTATATATATATATAATTAGTAAATATATAATTATAGACATCTTCTAAAGGGTTGTTAAAGAAAATTTGTAACTGGCATGGTGGCTCAAGCCTATAATCTTAGCAACATGGGTGATTGAAATGGGAGATAGCAATTGAGGACAACCTTCACAAGCAAATCTTCACAAGAGTACATCCCAAAGCATGGTCAGGTGCGTTGTATGACACATGTCTGTCAATACATCTATAAGGAAAGGAACAAATAGGAAGGCCATAGTATAAGCCAGCCTGGGCTTGAAGCAATATTCTTTATGAAACAAAAAAAATGAAATAACAAACATAAAGAAGATAAGCAGTCAATGCCCAACAAAATGAACACCAAGAAACGGGTACTTGCAAAGAGGCTCAAAGGGAGAGAGGTAGACAATAAAGGAGGGGGTGTAGTGAAAAATTTATTATATATGCCACAAAATTGAGAAATGGAAGGGAAAAGGTGGGCTGAGGGAGATGAGATTGTTGAAGGGAGTGACACAGACAAAGATGCATATTATTTTTATGTTGCTTTGTTAAATAACATTTCCCTTGTACAACAACAACAACAACAGCTACTATTATTATTACTACTACTACTAATGAAGCATTAGCCTTGGGGAGGGGAAGACTAGCAGAGTACAGTGTAAAGTATGTGCCATCAAGGGCAAGTCCCTAATTTCAAACCCCAGGGATGTCAAATGTACAATTACTCAATAATACTTATGGAAGTATGATGAGGATAAATTTACAGAAAAATTGCAGTAGCTATAGAAACCACTACAATGAGGCTTGCAGTGGAGGATAGATTGGTTTCATTGTGGAATAGAACAAGATAAGTGGGAATTGTGTAAACATTGTCAAGGACAATGTTTGAAAATTTGTGTAAAAATTACTGAGACAATTT